TGTGTTCACAAGCAAGCATTGGCTTTTGGCTCCCAGTGAAAGTGCAGAATGAGATACTTGAGCATATTCCTTATTCAGGCTGAAGCAGATCAGATGCTGTTTCACTCCTTTTTTTCCTTTGGCTTCAAGTTCCCTGGAAGTCCATGTTGCTGCAATGTACACCTGTGACAGTTCCTCTGCATTTTTTTAAGGTTATGTAAAAAACCACAGGGTTTGACTCTTATTTACTCTAATCTATTTCCCCAACCCCACCAAAATAAGGGAATAGCCAGTAGGATTTTTGGTGTACCCATAAGTACCTTTACATTACTAGATTGCTGTAAGATGATTTTCTTGTAGCAGAGGGTGGAAGGCACAAAGGCCACCAGAGCCTCAGCCAGTGTGAAGGTAGAGCTGAGGATTCAGCCACATGTCAAATTAAGCAAAGGCATTTTAGAACTACCTGTTTGTTAATGGCATCTGACCTACTTATACCAGCTCCAAAGACTCAGCCTTTCCCTTCCTGAAAATAGAAGGTGGCACAGGGAACAAAACAAGTCACTGTGGGCAAACTAATGGGCATCAATGTTTGCAGACATCCAACAATTAAATTTGGGTGGTTCAGTACATTCCTAATTAAGTACAATTAACATTTGTTCTTTACTTGTTCATTTTACATACCTCACTGACGTCCCAAATCTGGTTTCCCCAGATCATGTATCCAAGCACATCCTAATGATTCTGCCTTTCAATCCCTTATTAATACCCTGACACAAACAATGCAGAAATGCAATTAGACTGCTATGCACACATGGCCTGCCTTCTCTTTCACTGAAGCTGCTGGGAGTCTGGCCATGCACTGTCAGTATGATAGTTTCAGCCTTTCTGTATCTCTGCAAAAGTTTCAAGGAGCACCTCAAGCTTTTTTCTTCCCAGATACTTCATGTATTCAGCCCTCCATCTCCAATCCCAGCATCAGGTGGTTTTACCACCAAGTAGAGTTCACATCTTGACACTGTAGTCAGGAGAGCAGAGAATCATGTACCAGTTTCCCCATCTACTTTGCTTTTGTAAGCAGCTCCATAATATTGTTACATTTCTCTCAAGCAAACACACACACAGGAAAAAAAGAAAAAAAAAAACCCAAAAAACAAAAGCCAAAAAACCACAGATTGATGGGATGGCAGGGTTATAAAATAATAATGTAACATCCAGTCTGAGGCTAAACAAAACTGATAGCTCAAGAGGAGGGAGGCAGCAAGGTGATGGGAGAGTTAAAATACCCATGGTAAAATTTCAGTGTTGCAACTGTCTGCCATTTCTGAAGGGCCAATCAGTCAAACCTTGGGCAGAGGTTGGAGATCTCTCTGGAACTGCCCACATAGAAATGTCCAGAGAGAGAAACTGGCCCCAAACAACACTGAACAGCTGCTGAACTAGCCAGTGCTTCCAGTGAGCAATAGCAGTATCCCACATGCCTTTCTTGACAATTTCTGCCAGGTCAGTTTAAGATAAACAGAATCTACTGAAGAGATTCAGGTCAAGAACCATTAACATCAAGCATGTTCCTGGCATGCAGAGGTTTGTTCTGCAGCCTCAGAACTGATCTGTTTGGGTGGATCCCATCCTGCCTGGCTCTGGAGACCCTCAGCAAGCCCTGCTGCTGCCTGCCCCCACACACCTCTGCTGACAACCCAGCCTGAGGCAAATTCAGGATGGATAGGATGGCTCCAGAGGGGTAGAAAAGAGGCTAAGGAGGCTGCTGGGCACTTCAGGATAAGTGTCCCACAGGGTTGTGCTCTTCTCTATCTACTGAACACCTGGGGGCTGCCCAGCCTGGGAATGTGCTACAGAGCAGCAGCATATGCTGCAGTAAGATAGCCCTGGAAAAGCATTTTCTCAGTCATTTAATACAGACCAATATTTTTTAAATTACATTTTATTTTGCATTGTGTCTTCTACTGTCTTTTGGCTGCCATCTCTAAATTTAATAGCTCTACATAAGCTTAAAGAAACCCAGAATACTGCTTTTTTGCCCTACACAGATTTCCTTGACTCTTCTATGTTTCCTTGTTTGGGTGAACATCAGAAGAGAATCTTTCCACCTACATATCTAGTTAGATAGCTAGCTAAAAAGGTTGATTAATGGCAAGAGTTAGATTAAGCAAAGTAATTGTAACAGAAAAGAAAGAACAGGGAATTTTTAATGATGTTGGTCTTTCCACATTTCAAAAATTCACCTTTGTTCAGCAATGTTACCAGTTTTTTTATTGTTATTTACTACAAGGAAACTATGGAAATTATTTAATTTGGCCAGTCTCCAGTTACTGGCCTGAGTGAAGCAGAGAGAAGGGTTATGCAAATTGATTGCATCAATCAGAAAGCATTGAACTATACCTGCTTTTAAAAGCAATGGAATTCATTGAGGTATTTTTAGATTTTTGTAACTGAAATACTGCTTGGAAAATAAAGTGAAAGAAGTATCCACACAACCTAATAGCTGCTATTAAAGGAGGCCATAGGCAACAGTCCTTCAAAAATAAAAGCATCTAACTTAGGCAGTCAGTCCCCAGCTAGCAGAGACAGTGCTCAAGTGGTGCGAAGTTAAGCACACATATAAAGAAATATTGGAGCAAAGAGATCTTGGAGACAACAGCGTCCTGCAAAGTCTTTGCAGCAACAGCATCTTTTTGTCAGAGTGCACACTCTGTCCTATTACATGGGACTCAGAAATTTCCTGACAATCTCTACTACCTCACACTGAAGGGTAACCTGTGGGGTTCATTGCCTAAAGTACCTGGTATATCTGTGTACAGAAACAAGCACTGCCTGACCACAAACAGAGCAACATTTTAGTACTGGAAACCTGACATTGGGCAGATAAATATAAAAAAGTGCTGTAATGGCAGAACAAGATATGTTTCTTATCTCTTGCACAAGGTACACACACATTAAATCTCTTGTTTGGGCAAACCTCCCATCACACAAAGAGGGAAGTATAATGAAACAGGTGGGATTAAAGGGTTTTCCAGTTCTTTAGGGAGAACACCTGAACAGATATCAGCCTGAGCAAGGTGTGCCAGCTGCTGAGGTACTCCACTCTGCTCCCTTCCTGGAGCAGGAGACAAAATGTAATTACTCAGGTATTTCTGTCTTTCTGCAATAGTTAATTGTCATATTATTCAGAGGGAATCATCCCACTCCTTTTAGGCAAAGCATTAAAAATGGTGTTCTCCAGGATACTTCTTCAATGAGTACTTAAAGGAGAAGGAAGGGGAGAGGGTTAAAGGGAATCATCACAGAACAATTATGAAGGTAATTTGGAAGCCAGTCTGGAAACAACATTGTAACAGAGCCAATAGCTGATTCAAATTGTTACGTTCCTCCTTTGATCACCTGCTCAAACACACTCCTAATTAGCATTTAATGGAGTCTACAGTTCAGCACTTTACTGAACACCTGCATGCAAATGTCAGTTCCTCTTCTGAAGACTCACTGTCCTGTGCTGGAGTGCAGACCTGTGCTTCTAACAGAAGGAAATATCTGACAACAGATGAGCACCACCTCGACCCCCAAGGAAGAACCAACTGTTTCTTCAGTCCTGCACTGTATTTCAATCCAGACTATTCATAGCTGTAAAACTCTTGAAAAAAATCTAAAAGACTGAAAATTTTCATATATGCCTTTCTCAAGGTTTCTCTAGTTAAAAGATGTGATTTCTCTTCTCTTACATCTATTTGCAAAAATAAGTTTTGCAACTTGTCGCTGTAAGGTAACACACCAGACAGAGGAAATGCAGCTCTCACCTGTCCTTGAAATGGAGAATTTCAGGTAATACCTATTCCAGCAAGAGGAGAGATTGCTAGTGCCACCTCTTGGTGAGAAGGTGAGAAGGGCACAAAAAGACAGCCATTAGCATAATCCCAAGGACATAGCGGGGGCGGGGGGGAAATAACTTCTGCTTCTGGGAAGTGCTGACCACTCTCTCACTGATATCAAAGCACTCACTAGTATCCTTAGTTTGAGATATTTAGTATTGAGACCCTCATTATTGAGATGTCCTGTTCAGTTGAAGGACGTGTCTTGGATCTTTGCAGTTAAGCACATACTTAAATATTTGCCTGGTGCTAAATCCCAGTTCTATGAAAGCGTTAAAAAAGTGAAATCCTGTGGAATGTGATTATTCTTCAGCTGAAACTGAGAAAATGTTGTGTGTTAAACTTGTCAGGTTTTTAAATATCTTGATTGGGCTGTGATCCAAATACCTTCCCTGTTTGAGCTCTCCAATAGCAACTTAATGATAATGCTGTTGTGGAGGTTGAGTGTTAATCATTAAGTTTGTGTCAGATCTCATGATGCAGGAAGAGCTGTGGATAAGTGAGTCAACACAAGCTCCTAATCATAAGAAATAGAGTTAAAAAAAATCTAAAATGTAAAAAGAGGATTAGTTGAGCACCACATCAGCGTCAAGTAAGCTTGCATAGTGCCATTTATTCTTTATCCTTTTAAAATATCATCTGGAGAATGGTGGGCACATTTAGCTTGCTGAACTGAATCTCTGAATAAACACATCACAGGACAGATCTGCCCTTCATAAAAGAAGTTTCTACGATGTTTTCTGTTGATTTCAGAAGAAACCACACATAGGAGTCACTGTGTGTGGAGAAAAGCATGGAGGAAAACTCCATGTGAAAGTGTGTGAACTTTGCAAGACACTGTCTTCTCTCATGAAAATGCAGAAGCAATTATCACTTCTGGACTAATATTGCATGCATGAATAGTAGTGAACTGTAAATAAACCCAAATAACAATACTAAATAACCACTCTGGCTTCCATTTTCAAATAATGATGGAGAAAAAGTTGCATTGTGACTACATGTCCACCGAAATCTGTATCGATTAAAAGTAGACAATTTTTATTAACCAAGCAATGTTTACAGTAAGCTTTACTCTTGCAAAAAAAAAATTAGGTGTAATAGTAAAAGAAGACATACTAAATAAAAGTAAAGATGTTGTCCTACCTTGTTTTAGAATGGTTTTGTTTACAGGGAAACCACATCCATGTAATTTTAGGTGGAGGAATACCATACACAGTGCATGTCAGCACTTGTTTGCTGCCTAGTAAATGCAGATTGGGATCAGGGAATGATGACACAGCCTTTTCGTATATCTGCGGTTTCACTGGAAAGGGCAAAAATTGGAAAGCTATTAAAACCAGCTTAATTCCAACATATTGCATGAGTATAAAAATACTACATTCTTGCAGTGTGAGTAACAAGAAAAATCCCCAGGAGAACAAAGGAAAATAGCAGTCCTAAGTCACACAAATGGTTAGTAACACATTCAAGTCATCAGGAGCAAATATGTGGCTGCAGAGGACAGAAACACTTCTAATGAAAACCAGCGTCCATCATCTGGTTCAAAGATGGATCCTTCAGCCTGCATTTGAGGCTTGAGTTTGGGTCCATGAAGTCAGCAAGAAGACCCACAATTCCCTGATGTGTGCAAGATTGGTGACAATCCAGCTCAGAGAAAACGGAGCACTTACATGTTCAGGAGAAACATGGGAACATGTTGCAAACTTACCATTTACAGTAAGAGTGACTGTAAGATTCTTTGACAAGTTCCACTGTGGAATGCTCAGTATTATGGTGTAGTTTCCAGCATCCTCCTCAGCAACATCCTTGATGACTAACGAATAGTCTTTAACCACGTACCGGGCACATTTCTCAGCAGCAGGTAGCCCATCTTTTAACCTGTTTCATGGAATTCCAGAAATCAAAATTCTGAAAATCATTTCTGCTTAAACCACCCATGTTACATCATATCCCTCAATCTTCTGGGAAGGGATTGGATTTCCAGTCTGAGATTCTGTTTACCACAGGGTTGTCCTTTCCTTTCAAATAAGATTGCTGATATTTATAAACCACTTTAGAAAATACTATTCTATATATTAAAATTTATAAGAATCTGACTCTTGGGGCTCTATGGTATTTGAGAGTTGTTGAAAATTGCAATGCTGTCTCTGAAGATCCCAGTTGTTCATGGCTGTGACCGCCATTTAGTCTAAAAAGCAACCATTTTGGCTAAGAGTGGGTCACAGAAATAAAGGTTGCATCATCTTGCACTGGCCATTTCTCTATGACCTCAGAATACATCCTGGGACAAAGTATTACAGTACTCCAAGCACAGCTGTGATTTTAGGAAGAGGAAGAGTAAGTAGATTAGATAAGCACTTAAGAATCAGATATCCTGCTATCAAGTGAATGTTTTTAAAGATAACAGAAAATCAATGTAGAAAGTACTAACTGTTGCTCACACACAGATTCCTGAAGCAAAATATTTTTCTTCGAAGTCTAAACTACAGTGTAAAGTGCATTTTAACAAGCTGCAAGAAGGTTAACATGATGTTAGTAGAAGGGTGCAACATATATTCATTATAATGATGGATTTGATCTAAATGATTCACAGCTTTTAGTAAGTTTTTAGAAAAAACTCTTACTGTTATTAGACGAGCACTAAAATTTGGTCAAAGGACTTACGGATTTAGGCTTTTCACTGTTTGTGTATTTTACAGAATCACAAAATAGCTGCAGCTGAAAAAGCCTTTGGAAGTCATTTAGTCTAATGTCCTGTACAAAGCAATGTCAGAAGATTGCCCAAGACCATTTTCAGTATGGTTTTGTGTATCTCCAAGAATGGATACTCCACCACCACTCTGGACTATTTATTCCAATGTTTGACCAACCTCAATTTTAAATATAAAAAAATTAAAATTGGTTACAATGTTTGAGATTTTTTTTTGTTCAGAAGTTTTGGATCTATATGTGTAGTCAATAAACTCGAACACTGGAAAAACAGAAAATTATGTAAAAATGGCTGGCATCAGTGTCACACTCACCCCTCAGTTTTTCGCATGAAGCCATAAGCATAAAGGTTTTGTAAAACAAGACAACACTTTTGGAGCAAAATTAATTCCTGGCTGTAACATGAACTCTCACTAATCATGTATGTATAGTTTGTGTTCTTAATCAGTCCTGTCATAGACCCTTTGTAAAGTGCAATTATTTGAGCCAGAGCTACTGGTGTTTTAAATTATTTAAACAAAAAAATCCTTGAGATCATGAATAGATAACATTGTTGCACATGAAAGTGGATTGGACTAATAAAAATAAAAACTGTTCCAAAAATTTCTTAACACAATTTACACGAGACAAAATGAATGATCCAGTGAATGCTGTGTTGCAGTAAGTCTACAAACTGCAGATCACTGCATAATAATACCAACTTCCAGTTTTTTGCAATAGTGCATGTCTGTATGACTCAAGTCAATAATTCATTTTAATGAAAGACTTCTTTTCTTTCTCTTACTGTCTGAAAAGCAAGTTCAGGTTTCATATCTAGGTCTGAGCAAAGCGGGATGCAACACTTCAGTCAAAGCGGTAGAGATATTTAGCTATAGAGCATCCATTGATTTCAAGGGGAGACATATCGCACCTATTTGAGGATCTTTAAACTTTCCATATCTCCTTTCTTGCACTTGTGAAATGGAAGTAATGTTCTCAGAACCCCAGGCAGCTCTGAAACTTCAAAAAGACCCTCCCCAACTCTATTATAAAAAGAGGTCCAGGATGAACATGTGTAAGTAACTGTTGTCCTACCATATAACCTCTGGAGAGGGAAATGCCTTCACTTTCATTGACAAACGATAGGATTTTCTTCCAGCTACAGCCTCCAGCGCAGTTTTTCTTCGACGTTTCAAATTAATGAACATTTTATCTTAAACAAAATAAAAAAAAATAGCTTTGCATTACTGATTTTCACCCTGCAAAATGAGTAGCTCTACTAAAGAAAATGTGACTCCAAATAAAAATTATCTTTAGTAATTTTGATGCTCCCACATGTTAACAGCAAGAATAGAGCCTTATCTCCTAGAGATCTATAAAATATAAAGGAATACCATAAATATACAAGAAACTGAGAGCAGTTCCCAGGGCGTGAATCTGCTTGGAGAAGATACACTCTAGCCAAATTCACATTGTGTCCAGCCAGAAAAAAGGGCACAAGATATAAAGTGGTCTGTAGTATGTGGGAGGCTGAACTGAGGATGATCAGATGACCTTTTCACTCTTACAGGCCAAGGATCAATGAATGTTCCAAAAGAAAATATTTTTCCAGAGAGGATTTAAGGGACCTTCAGAGAAATAGCAAAGGAAAAGGCAGAAACTTCATCGGTAAACAGCTGTTTCATCAAACCAGCAAATCTTTGTCACTTCACTGGAATAAAAACAACCTGCTGGAATTTGTTCTTATCCATTTGCTCTGCCCCCTATCTCCAACTCTCTGCCAAGTTGATGGCTTTTCCAAAAGGCAATAAAACATAAAATTCATACAATACATTGGAAAATATCTCTTTCTCTCCTGGCAACTTGTGCAAAATAAAATATTCAAAGTATAAAAAATTCTTGATTGTCCTTTTGATGGTACCTGGGATGCAATATTTACTCACATTATGAACTGCATAAGGATGATGGACATCCATTAAACAAGTTCAACATTTAATCACACTTACCACATACATTGAAAATAATATGCACAAGACAAATAACTAGTTTAATTACACAAGTTAAGTTATAAAGATACAGCCCTGATTCTGCAAACCTTTATTCATACAGTCTCTTTCTAATATTGGTATCCTATAGATGGGGCTGCTTATGTGAATGCAGGCTGACTTCAACAGTCCCAGCTTCTCTGACTCTAATTTTAATCTCCAACTTCTCTGATTTAAATTATAATCTAAACCTCTCTTTCTGAAAGATGCAGTTTATCTGTTTAAGATAGAGTAAGTGGTTATCAGGATTCATCCTGTGTTCCTAGTGCCTTATTCCAGAACTTAAATTCTAGAGAAAATGGGCTGAAATTTCTAAGAATACCAACACAGAGTACTTAGTCCACACTTCCAGATAGGAGAGGAAGGATACACTGCTGAAAATATGTAATAAATCCATATTCTGACCATGAGTCATCTGTTGTAGAGGACACCCACCAGCCACTTGGCCTCAACACCAATGGTGCTCCAAAGATCCTGGCTAGTTCTAATTGTAACAGGGTGTCCCAAAGAAGGTCACTTCCCAAAGAGACCTGATGCAAAAAAAGTCCTTATTCATATGCATTTGAAATAATATCAGAAATTTCCAGATTTCACAGAAGGCCCAGACAAACCATAGGGAACTTGATCAAGAGTCCTGCTGTAAAACCACATTAATGATTTGCATTTTTTGAATGGGCTACCAGCTACCAGCTCCATGTAGAGTTAGGGTATTTATTTCTTGTTTATTTTTTCATAGAAATGCATAAGTACCATAGAAGCAGAAGTGGGATTCTTCTATTTAAATTTTGCTTGTGCCTTCTTTTTCCCCTCAAACTAGAATTTGCCTGATTGTATCTCCTAGAACTGACTGAGGACAGCTCCATCACAATATTTAGCAGACAAAAGTGATGAAATTGAACATTAACATGTCTATTGCCAACAGAAGAAAACAGTCATGGAGGAAATAGCACAGGTTTTCCATCCTGGAGCGCCTCCCTCCCTCTTTTCCCTTTATCTGCCCGCGATGGCTCCCGCCTTGTGTCACAATGTAAAACCATCACACAGCTGACCTTGGTACAGGAAAATGGAATATTCCACAAATGTGCACCACTTCTTACCATAGACAATGACTGTTGTGTTGACAGCCTTGATGGATGGCCCACTCTTCACGTGGCAGGTGTACTGGCCTTTATCGATGTCCCGCACTCTGTCCACAACGAGGAGACTGTAAAAAATGTTGGCCTCTGAATTCTTCTGGTCAATACGCTGCGTTACAGAACCTCTTCTCCTTGTCTATAAGAGCCAAAGAAATGAACAAGAAAGAGCTCGATCAAACCAATTTTCATGAGCATTTCCTGAGATTTTTATTTTCCTGTACTTCCACCATAACTTAATAAAAAAATCCCAGATGTCTTTGTACAGCACAGATAAGCAAAGGATGCTTAACATTTCCAGAGGGTCAACAATAAAAAATACAAGCAACCTTATAGGGCAATCCATCCCTATGTTCATCCAAGGTATCATGGCATCTGAGGGAGCAAGATCCTCCCTTTTATATAGCCTGTCATATCAACATGCCCAGCTCCCCATTGCCATTGTCCAGCACTGCTCCTAAAAGTCCCTGAAGCCATGATATGAAGAGCAGCACATAGTTTGGTGCCTGGATTCAGTGCCATAGGGAACAGACACACAGAAGAAAAGGAAATTTACACAAGGAGGGGAGAATTCTGGAAATGCTACAGATGGAAAAGGGACTAGATTTGGCAAGGGAATAGCAGGGTGGAACTGAAGATAATGTGACTCTGAGGAGTTATTTCCTGCAACTCCCCCTCAGCATTTGGCCTCAAAGTTTATTTAACCCAGGACATTGTTGATGTCTTATAAACACTGACCACCCTTCATTTACCATCTAAATAAAAACAAAGCACAATTTCACAAGTGTGGTGCCCAGATAGGGCTTGGTAGGGCAGCAACAAGCAATATAATATATTTAAAGCATTTCTTGTTGCTAAGTTGTTTATTTCTGAGGTGAAAAAATGCCAGGGAAAATGGCTACAGTAAGCAATAAACAATTGCATTAATCTTCCCTGTATAATGCAATCATAATTTCAGCCTGTGATTAGATACAATGAGTGACATAATAAATGATCTTGACTTGAATCACCAGAATAAATCAAACTGACATGAAAGGAATGGGAGTTGTAAACCTTAAGCTAATGTCAAATTTCTTATCAGTTTTACACGGACTCCCTGGCAGTTATTCTGTAAGTGACAAATATTTATGAGGATGCTCCCAATGTGGGGGGTGGAGAAGCTCATTCAAGATCATTCCTGTACTTGTCAAAACAAGAGGATTGTTCGTCTGACACTTAACAAATGAGATTTTGGCTAGTTAAATCAAAATACCTTTTCCAAACATGCTCAAATCGGGTGCCTGACTGTCTGCCAGTCTTTGGAATGAATGTGTTGAGAAGACAGCCTCAAGACTGAAACTTTTTTGTCACAAGAGAGAGCCCCTGCCTGGGATGGGGTGATAAATTTCTCTTGTTCCATCAGGTCGAAAAGAAGCTCCCAGAGATGAAACAATTCTAGCGTTTGCTCGTGATTATGCAATATAACCAGAGCACATTGTGTAAACATGTTTACTTATGAAATTAAGCATCAGAAGGAAAAAAAAATAAAACCTTAAGAGACATGTCAGCGAGGGTCAAAATGATGGAATGCAAACAATGGCAAGTATTCCGAAGCAGAATTCCTCCCGGGATGCTAGATGCAGCATGATCTGTGGGAAACCTCTGATTTCTCCCTTCCAGGCAGAGCACTCACCTCTCCAGGGTAAGTCCATGTCATCTGCACTCTGGTGTTCCAGGCTGCAGTGACAGTGCAGTTAATTGCTAGGCTGTCTCCCTTCAGCAGCTTGACGAGACGTGGGGTGCTTAACTGAACGTCAAAAATGGTGTTGGCTGCACGTGGCAAAGAGGGAGAACAATTAGTGATGCCAGCAGGGCAGGGTGCTTTCTGGGAGGCAGGGGGTGGAGAATGCCACCTACTTTCTCTGTGTGTTAGGTACTTGGTGCTGTACGTGTGCCCAGCCACGGTTGTCTCACAGCTCAGGAGCCCGATGAATTTGTAAGTTGCCTTAGGTATTCTGAAGCCTTGCATGCTGTCCCAGATTATTGTCCTGCCATCAGGGATTAGGGTTTCTCGTGGAATCTGGAAGTGCCAAACACACATCAGAAAAACAGCTCATCCTCATGTCTACTCTCTAATCAAAGTAGCCTAGTAAAAAAGGGATGGGGGAAAAAGCACCCAAAAAAATGCCAATCAATATGAAAAGGATGACATTTAATAATGTGGGTTTTTCAAGTCACATTTTCATCACAAAATAGAGGAAAAACCTGGGTGAAGAATGCGAATGCTGCATTTGTTTCCAGGATTTCATTATTTATAACAGGATGTAATTTATGACACAATAGATTGACACTACCATTAGTTTTAGCAGTTAGGCTGCTATTCTGTTGGCTCCTGGTTGGCAGCTAAAGTGCTCATCTCCAGGAACATTTGCAATTAAGTATCCTGGTTCCAACACAGAGAAACAAATACACACTTTTCAACGGAGATTACAAATGAGCTTAATTTGCTGTCATTTTGTGGCTTTAAGAAATTCCTGCCAGGATTCAATTCATGCATGTCATATTTATTTTGCCTAAAAAACTTAAAAAACAAACAAAAAAATTATTGCCATGTGGGATCAAACGTTCATTTTGTCAGCAGTACAAGTTACCTCTTACATTATGATCCTTTGCCCTTTAAGCCCCATTTTAATAAGGTATCAAGAAAAACCTGAAGGAGTAAAGCCTAACACAGCCATTAGATCTCAGACAAAACCTCTCATTTTCAGATCATGCTATTTTGTTATACCTTATTGATGGAATAAATGCCACCATTTGGATAGCACAGAGATCAGCCATGAGTACAAAGCCTGGATATGACTCTACTTTGAATAACACCTGTTTTAATAGTAAAAATAAGATATTTTTAAAGATGGCACAGAGCAGAGTTTAAATGAATTATGGTCATAAGGAAAGATCCCTGGATCAACTAAGCACCCTGCAGTCCATCATTTCCCACTGTGCACCAGTCTCACTGTGTCCCTTCATCTCTTTCTGCCTCTTTATTTGAGCAGAGGACTCATGTGCTGGAGAGCCCTTTCCTTCCTACAAGCAAAGCCAGCATGGGTGGCTGTCAGAGGCCGGGGGAAGCAGAATGAAGTCTGTCTCCCTCCCATGGGGTACAGCTTCTCCCTACAATGTGGCACCCTCGATGCCGCCTGCGCAGAAAGACACCCTTGAGATCACACTCACTCATCTCATGCCACTTCCTCCAAAACAACCAAGTTCATGATGAATCAAATGAGCAATAAATACAGAGCACAAAATGACGTGGTAGAATTCCTTATCTTTACAACAGCGGATAAGATGCTATAATAAGCATGCAAATCACAGGGAAGTGTGTGCAGAACACACACTAGTAAAGCCCATTAGGTTACAGCCTGCTGGCTACCATTCAACAATATCTTGGTCCCTACGAGCTCTGTTGCCATTCCTGTTCTAAACAAAATGCATTTTCAACTTTGGTGTAACTAGTTAATAGTTATGTTTTCATAAGCTTCAATTGGATTTATCCTTTTCCTGCTTCGGTGAAAATCAAACTATTTCTGAACATATTTCTGTACATGTTTTCAGGAAGAAAGCGAAACTAGAGGGTGAGAGCTTTCCTAGACTAGCATTTCCCACAGAATTCATTCACTGCACATTCATTACTTAATTGATGTATTACTGACTTTGTATTAGCCTTACTCCAGGAATACAAAAGTAACCAAAACACCCAGAAGAGTCCTATTTTGCAATTTTGTGAGTTGTCTGGATGTCCTCTAGGCTTACTTATCCTGGAGGCAAATCTTTGCCTGTACAGTTTACTCATCTGACACTCCTCAAAACCACTAGAGCTACAGCTTTTTTGTATAATTCTTTTGCATCTCTGAGACTAACTTACACCAGTCACCTGTGAAAGCATAACACAACACTAAGTTACGAGAAGGAAAACTTCAGAAAACTGAAGTCACCATGCTGATCACTGTGTGGATGGTACAAGACAGAGGATCCGAGAATAACACAATAATTTAGGTTGGGAGGGACCTCCATAGGTCATCTGGTCCTGCCCCTATGCAGAGCACAGCCAGTGTAGTTCAAGGCCTTGTCAAAGATCTTGGCCATTTGGTTATCACAGAGAGAAGTAGAAAACCTATGAAGAAATAGTGAAACTTCCACTGAAGCAGCAGAAGATAAATTCAGCCACAATAATAGCTTTCAGATGGGAACCAACAGTGAGTCAGAGGCATTCAAAGAATCAGCTTGTTGCGACGGCTACAGTAAACATGGAATTTATTGTCTACATACTAATCTGTGTGAACCCTATCACTGTGGCTCCCAGTGCATTCTTGGCCTTTTACCTTCTTTGTACTTTGTTTCAAATGCAACTATTTTCGGTATAGGCTGTGCCTCCTTCTTTGCTCCATCTTAGCTGAATGTTTTTGGTACCTGGTGGCATTAACACAATGCAGCACCATGCTGTGTGTGTACATATGGTCAAGAGTTATAGTCAAGCTGTGGTTCCCCACAATTCCAAAGGCAGATTGTATTGGAAAGAGACAACTAAAAGTTTCATTAAAATGTACATTAGCTTCTCAAATGTTTGGCTTTTCTTTCATGTTTCCCCTTCCACCAATTTGGGAAGGATGAGGTGGCATTATTAAGAATTCAGATTGTCTGCGTATGTGATTCACAACATCCCTTGGGTTTCTTTCCACTTTTTATTCCTTGTACTGAAGCTTATTTACTTCTATTCCTATGAATGTCATTGTTTTTATGATGGAGAATCCAAAAGGATTCTTGGTAAACAGATGGATTAAATCATTGTATCAAAAGGTGATACTTTCTCCATTTATCAAGATAAGAACAAATGAAGAGGTAAGAGAAGTGCATAGCTTACTTGCAATAAGGTTTATCTTTTTTTATGGATCCTGAATGAGGCTGCCAGAATCATGTTGATAGGAATGATGTTTTCAGAGGCTCTGAATATCTAACTATTAGCATCAGATCAAAACTATTAATTGTTTTCACAATTCTTCATATGATAAGGAAAAGATCAGCTCCTGCAGATAAAGGTTATATCAGGACCTGAAGGCTGAATTTGAAATAGGGATTAAAAGCTTCCTCCCCATTTCCCAGTCCATGTTTTATTAGCTTCTTGATTTTTGAAGATTCCTCTCCTATGTTGTATGTGATTGCGATGCTATAAAATATAATCTGCACAGATGTTCAGCCTGAAAATGAAAGCAACACAGTATCTGAAAAGGTTGACTAAGGTAAAGATGAAGTTTGAGTTAAAAAATGGTTTGTAGTTTTGAAGATGGATAATAAATAAACCTTTCCCATATTGGTCCACTAAGAAGTAGCACTGCGAAGAAACAAACACTGGAGGCAGTGCTCATGAAACTGTAGGGATTCCTTCCAGAAGAGAGAGATTATTAAAAATATTTTGTATTTTTACTTCCTGGCAATACAGAAGGCAGAACCTAATGACACTAAAGCTGGTATTTTCTTTCCAGCTCCAGAGGACTTCTTTATGAGGACACCAAATTCTTCCTTTATCACTGATGGAAAACACAAAATAGCTCTTGCCATTTCTCCAGCAGTAGTATGCCTGCAGCTGTGGAATGCATTTAACACATCTCTTAATTGCCCTGTGAGTAAAACCGTGCTGGAATCTTCATATAAGGGTGTCATAGAAGATAAATAAAGTAAGATATGATGTAATGCATTGTAGCTTACATGCTTCAGGAAATTCTAGGATTAATTAGGGAACACATTTATTTTTCCTGGAATGCAAAACATGTAAGCAACCAATCCTTTCTTTCAAGGCTTGGCTCTACCTCCTCCTTCTCCTTCTGAGAGTATTACATCTGGTTTTAATGGTGTAAAGCTGCGCCTTACACTACAAGCCCAAGCTAAAGGCAAGTTGATATCAAAAAAAAAGAGCAGCTACATTTCAATCTTCTACAAATAAGGAGATTTTTTTTTTATATTGTTTAATGAGAGAAACCTGACAGGAATTTTCTCAGCTAGAAATCTAATATGCTGAGATTTCAGGTGCAACACTACAGCGCCCAAATAAATTCCCACTTTACAACACCCCTTCTGTGGAATGGTACATCTCACTTGCTTTTGATTCCCTTGCCACACAACGTTGTGCATCTTCTTGCAAGAAAGCTGTGTGTGTGTGTGTTTGTGTGTGTGTGTGTGTGTGTACCTACACACATAGGGTAATGTCCTGCGTCAGATCACTTTCTTTTCTTTGCATTTTGTTCTCTTTCATGGAATTTAACAGGTTAAAACCAAGCAGCAAAATCAGTATCTATATTAGCAGAGCAGCACTTGAAAGAATTGATAAAATTTGTGGTTGGTGTAAAGCTCTACAGTCAAAGAATAATCAAAGACTTATGTTGCGCTAGATAAGTACCTTACGGTGGTATTGTTTGGCAATTGCACATTATTCTATAAAGAGACAAACCTCCTTTCCTTTTAACAGTGATGAACTTTCATTGCCAGTATGTACATAACTCCCTTTATTTAGAAATAGAACTTCTTTGCCACCTCCACCTAATTTTTCAGAAAAAAAAAAGAGGTAACTTTGAAAAAATGCCCCATACTCAGTCTTGATACCAGGTACTTAACTGCATACATATGGTTCAGTTAGCTGTCCATGTAACTCTTAAGGTATCTAGGAGGCAAATGTTTTCCTAAAACATGGGAATATCTTTTTTTTTTTCCTTTCTCTCTGAAACTAGCCCTACCACATCAAATGTTGCAGTTTCTCTGCAAAGTTTCCCCACAAAGAAAAGCCATCCCTTGTCTAAGTGTGCTCACATGTCAAAGGAAGCAGCAAAGTCTCTGGTGGGAGTGAGGTAGGGCAAAGGCTTGCAAAGATCCCTGTACAGCCACAGTAAGTCCCCAGGGACTCACCGGCTGTTCCAGAGGACAGAAAAGGAAAAGGGAGGAAGGGCAAGGGAAGAGGTGGGAGGAAATCTCTTCTCCTAACAAGAAATTCCTTCCTGGGCTTAAGAAACCTTTGCCAGTGAGGATTTAATAAAGTAGTATGAAAAGTTTAAGTTTCTTCAGAAAATTTCCACCCTTTTAGGAGATTTGATGTCCTTCTGTGCAACTCAAAATGAAGCCTCCAGTGTTGAAATATTTCTGAACACATTGACGCCCAGAAACATTGCATAAGAAATATTAAATTGTCAAAATATTTCAAAAGCATTACAATAGCTGTAAACAAACAAACAAAAACATCATCCACAGTAACAGTTTCAGAGCATGCTTGGATAGAGGTACCTTTTTTAAAGTAACAGCAATGTTTGGATCTGTGACTCTGCATGGAATGATCATTTCTCTTCCTACAGCCATGTTTATTATTTTGGGTATATCACTGTGCATCTCTACAAATGGATTGCTTGTATCTGCAAAAGAAGAAAAAATAAAAGTTAATTTGTGAAATTTTAAGGCATTGCATGGGAATTGTAACACTGCACAGACTTAAAAAAACAGACTAGCCCTGTCTGTAATGAAAGCTAAAGAAAGTCCTGAAATCAATCTTCTGTTTACTTTTGTCTAAACATCTTCATCAAACTATTATTAAGTATTTGAAGGTATATGTATCATTCAATAACAGTATCAGTACTTTGAAATTTCAGGACGGTTGAAGTCCATTTTTTCTGTTACAGCAACACCTCTAACCTCTACTGCTGAGATATCTGCTTCTTATTTCATGGCATTTATATCTTTTTATCACCAGGAAAAGTAAATGTATGGGAAGTGAGCTGAAATTCACTTATCAGGAACCCCCTATAAAGCACATCTTCCTGCTGTCTGCAAGGAAATTGATAGGAAAAATTCACACTGACTGCATCAGGAGAAAGAATCTACTGTGATTATCCAGCCATTTTTTCACCTCCGAGAATACGGACTAGAGAGAGTTAATTCTTCTCCTCATTCCCACTATCACAATACCTATGTGTCTCTTTTTTATGTGACAAGGTAAATGAAAATGCCAGGAAAACATTAATTCCTCTTGAGTCAAAGCTAAAGCTTGGCAGAGTAATTTACCGTCCCTTGAACAATCCCTTTAACAAAGGGCATTGTCATAAATAGCTTGCGCTGGGAACAGGGAACATTGCTGCTGCTATTGTTTGGGCCACTTAACAAAGAGGGGCTTAAGCCACGGTCTCTGGCTCCAAATCTTCTTTGCAGGTGTTCAGATCTGAAGTTTCAGTTTGACTCACATTGCAGATAGACTACCTCCAAATTCACATAAGGTTTGGTTTTTAACTCCTAAAAAAAGCAGAACATTAAGATCTTAATTCTATGCTTATCTACAGCTCTAATGTTTTTTCAGGCAAATCCCATTATTTTCACTCAGTCAAAAATCCTAGAAATAACAATGGAAATCTTTCTTGGATAAGAAATTAGTAAAGTTAGCAAGAATCAATCCCTTATAAAACTTCAAACTGTAACACTTGATTTAAGTGTTCTGGCCCCAAACTTCTGTGTGTTGACCTATGTTCACTCAAGCAGTTCTTCAAGTAAGTTACTTTTGCTTGTCTTTCAAAAGTATGATATGCACTTCCCAGGGTCATCAAACTGTTCTGCCCTTAGGATCCTCTTTTCTTACTATATGCAATAATATTTTTGTTTGAGACATCAAACAGGAAGAGAAATGGATTCTGCTCTAATTTATACCAGTGAGAATCCTAAGGCAGAAGATCTCAAATGTACTCCAGGATACAGAAAAAATTTTGCTAAAGTGATTTAATGAAACTGATACAAACTTTCTGAAATGAAACCCACAAAGTATTATTTAATAGTAGGTATTAAACGTCCACTGAGATAGCGAAAGGAACTTATGAGTAATAGAGGATGCATATGTAATAAAAAATGCCCTGAGGACTTGTTAGGCTGACATTTCCTCTGCAGGACGATTCAAGGAAAGACCAAGAATGAACCTGTTTGTAGCACAGGGAAAAGAACCTTTTTTGTTTCAGGGACTGCAGCACAGAAGAGGTCACCTGCCCCTTAACATCACCAGACAAACCGATTTACTACTCCCCAAAGACTCGTTTGTCTTTGTCACAAAATTAAGAGCTTCTGCCCAAAACCAGCAAGCTTTGCAAAGTGGTTTCCTGTACCATAATTTCCAGATCATTGTAAGTGTGAGGAAGAGCTGTTCTGGGGCCTGCCGGTGCTGTCTGCAGACAGTGTCACCACTGACTGATGCCAGTATTGAGGCAGTGGGGGTTGTGCAGCTCAGACCTCGCAGGATTCCCGGGGGGCCAGGAAACCAGCATAAAGCACCATGTTTTCTTTCTTCTTCTTCAGTGGAAATGCACGTCCACACCTGAAGAAGCCAACAAAGAGCTGTATGAAAGCAGCAGAAACACTCTGGTTGCCCTTGGTGGGCTCCAAGGCTCGGTGACAGCTCTCCTGGTGCCCTCCCTGCAGTGTGCGCCGAGGCGTCGCCGTGCCCCCGCTATTCGCGTGCAGAGCTCCCATTGACATCACCGGGGACTTCCGCCATGGGCCAGAGGGCAATCGATGGCCCCGAGTGCTCCAAATGTCTTCCTGCTTTTGATTAAAAGGAATACGCATCATGTTTCCTAAGAACAGTTTTGTTTTCATAATGAGCATGGAGGCTTTTCCTGGTTCCCTTTGATTTTATTCTCCTTCCATCGTAAAGGCCCTAACTGGATACTCTCTCTGCCTCAAGATCAGAATCTGGTGCAGGCTTTACCAGCCTGGATCAGGCAAAGCTGAACTCACAGCAGCGCCAGGGCAGCTTATGCCACCTTGACAGGGTTTGCCAACAACATGGAATTCTTTGGTTCCCCAGGCAATAGCTTCTCCTTGCCTTTTCTTTTCCTCTTTCCTTCCCATCACAACCCCAGCTACTGCAATTAGCTCCCACTACATTTCCTTTCAATTTCTTCCTGAGGGGAGGTAAATGAACCTTCCCCACATAGCTGCTTGGCAGCACATCTGGCATGACTTTATTTCCCACCAGCAGTCTTTTGAGCCAGTTTCACTCAATTCTATGTTCAGAAAGCTCTAGATGAAAGGAACATCACAGACTGACCTATTTTGAAGACCACATCCAGGTTACACATTCAGCTTCATTGGGATTTGGAATGGAAAATCTAAGGGTTTGACCTTGATTTTATGAATTATTCATTTGGGTTGTTGGTTTATTTTGTTGGGGTTTTTTTCTTCAGACCTGCCTGTGAGGTTAGAAAAATGAAAGCTGGATAGCCAGAATACTTACATATGTTAAAAGTTACTTAAAAATCAGTTTAGTGTATTTTTAAATTATACCTAGAATGAATGCCTGTGTGCTGGGTTGACTGTGTTCCTTACAATATCTCTCAGTTACAATCAACATGAAACCACAAAGAGCACTCATGAAATCACAAAATTCATGAAGGTCATTTGCTATATTGTTAAAGAGCATAAATAGCAGCTTTTTTGCTAAGCTGGTTGGCAGCCAGATAAAAATGTGATAAGAGACTTAGCACAAGGAATATTATGTCTGGTATCAGTAACCTGTCTAGGCTATTTATGGGGTTTGCACAAACAACTAAATTAGCCAACACTGAAATGCCAAATTCAGAAACAGTGGAGAGGGTTTTTCTTTCCACAAGCTTCAGCTACTGTTCTTGGGTTTGTTTTGTTTTTAATAATCTGAGCTATGTAAGTCAGAGGACTTACACATACATTTGCAAGAAGAAAAGTCTCTGCAGGAAAATCTAAGCTCCTTGAAATCTCTAAAAGCTTATCCTCTGAAGTTCTTCCAAAACACCTGCTTACACTTGGCTCATCCTTAAGATTCTTTTCAGGCTAAAAGGGGGAGAAATATTTTCATCACATTCACATAACACCCTTTCCCCTCATGCATGTGAAAAGGACCACAGTCTTTAGTAAGGAACAGACATGCAGACTTCATTGAAGTTCATGGGCCAACTGCCACATTCCCTTTCCATTGAAGGGATTAAACCTCTTTAACTTTATTTATCCCAGATAAATTATTGGGGCTGCTCAGAAGTAATTCCAAAAGAATCTTGCACACCGAGAGTCATTCCAGCCTCACTTGCACATCTACAATACAGACATTTCTCACTGAGCTAGGAGCCAAACCACTGGTGTTGTCCCCGGTGAGAAAAGGGGAATTTTGTAATGGGACTCATCTGACCTGTTTTAGACATCTGCTTTACCATGAGATGAATTATGCCCTAGGAAATATGTCTGTTGAACTGGTTTATATGCCTAATTTCCTTAAAGAAAAACAATCCCATTTTGTATGTCATATTCTAAAAGAAAGGTTGTTCCACTCGTGCCTCTTGTAAACCAGTAAATAACGCTCTTCAAATACAAAGTATGTCTAAACCTTGAAAGAAAACCTGATAAAGTATTCTCCTTCTTTTTTGTTTTTCTTTCTTTTACCTGGACTTCTATGATTATTAATTTATATCTAGAGCACACTCAGACACAAAGAATTTCTAATACAATTGTACAAAAATTTTTAGACGAGATTGGTTTGTTTTACTTTGAGACTAGTTATACTATGCTATTGTCAACAAAGGACCATGACACAAATAAAACACAGTTAAAAATCTTCAGGAAAAATAATCATATTAGCCAGGAAATCCACGACAGAGCTATTACTACGTTCAGCAAGCAATCCCTAGAAAGGCTAATGAATACTAGGAATGCTCTTTCAGATGTGTCCCTCCATTGTGGTGGCTCACCCTGGAAAGATGATTGTTTCAGTAGGAGCTGTGAGCCTTGGTGAGGGAGCAGGACCACAGAGGGGTCACTGCAGAGCTTTGGATGCGGCCAAAGCGTGGGCACATGCTCCGCTCCCCGCGGTGTCCTGTGATACGGAGCCCATGCACACGCAATGACAAAAGCGCGGCAATTATAGGCCATTGACGTCAGCAAGTCCTAGAGGTCTCTGTTTTGTAACAGGAACCTCATTAGAAGCTAAAAATGTGTCCGCATACTTGATACAGCTGCAACATAGTTTAATTCCAACGGGTTTCCTCTTCATAACAGAAGCGCTATCATAGTATTGACTCCGACGGTGTAAGCCAAAACCGTACTGCTCATAGGCTAAAACTGTGCCAAAAGCAAAGACAAAAAAAGGCATGGAGAGGAAGAGTTTCCCAGGCCCGAGCAGGTTCTTTTATCAGTGTGTAATTTGTAAATAAGAAGAAAAAGGAAAAAGAAGAAAATTCTCCCTTTCTGTTAGCTCTCAGGGTGTTTTGTCTTACTGCTTTTGTTACACGTTGAATGATTTTGACTCTGATGCTTCTGATTTAGGAGACCCTTTTGCAGAACTCTTTGGATATCCTCCATGTCCTGCAACAATAGTATCTTTAGGATTACAGGAGTCAATCCATCCAAGCTAAATCTTAAATGCATGTCAGTTCTGGGTCTGGATCCAGCTATCTGTCAGCAGGAGGACCTCCCAGGGAGGTGCCCAGGAAGTTCTAAAACACTAAGAATCTGCAGCATAGAACTTTAGTGCTTGAAAATGAGCTCAGAATCCCAGATGTTTTGGGATTTCAAAGCCTTACATTTTGAACAATTCCCTAATGATAAAGCCCTTCATTTTGGACTGCTGAGCCCAAGACATACATCAAACCAAATACGTACAGCTGGTAGGCATGCTCAACATTCTAGGCATTGGTGAGCACAAGTACTCTCAGGACCTGCACCTTTAATTACACAACTCTGATTTGCCTCACCTGGCTTAAATCCTCTCAAAGCAAGAAATTTATTCTAAGCTTGTTCTCCAGATTTCTTGAAAAGTAGGTGATGAACAGTACATACCAGAAACTTCTTTTATTCTCCGTTAAGTATAGGAAGAGAACAGACAACTAACACAGCCTAGAGGTCTGATTTTAAAACATGTCTCTCTCTGCAAGGAAAAGTAAGTGACCAGAAGACATACACCACAGGATTATGAGAAAAGACAAGGAGAGGGAGAACACTGACTAGGAAATGGGCTACTGCCTCAGAGCCAAATAGTTTTACTTTGAGAAGAATTCTGTTCTCTGTTGCAGAAGAATTAAGATTTTACTCTTGTATATGACTTGCCAAAAGCAGTCTTCATCACAGAAAATAGCAACACTTCAACTTGAATCACAGTTTGCTTAAATTCATGCAAAAATCTAACTTTGATATATCAATGTAAATGAACTTACAAGCCTTTTCTCTGTCATACCATGGGAGCAATTGTTCAAAGGCAAGAAATTTTGAGAGTAATTATGAGAATTAAGTGCACTACACATTTTTGAAGACAGTGAATGAGCTCCAGCAATTGAAAAGTGCCTTGGAGATATTGGGACAAAGCAGACAGAAAGAAAAGCCCTTAGTACTGTCCCCAGGGAAATTTACATAGGATTCAGAACAGCCTGCTGATAATTTGGTGTTTCTTAAATGTCTTTATTCCATCATTATCTCTTTTCAAGCAGAAAATTCCTCATGGCTCACTGCAATGTATGCAGTGAGCGTTCATTGCAAATCTTTCCTTTTTACTGTTTGGCTGTATTTTCCCTTACAAAACAAAGCTCTGAGCAGTTCTGGGTCCAGGACAGTGGAGAAATTGGCAAAGAGGTTTGCTTCATTTCAGATTTTTCCCATGGCTCATGGGGAAAGTCAGGTCATCAGTTTTCTTGAGGCAAAGATGAAGACTCTTAACAGAATTAATTTCCCTTGCCTAATGTCTCAATTTCTGAGTTGTGTGGGGTCAAGAGTTGTGGAGACACTGTGCACTCACTCCCCTCTGCAACTCAGTAGTGACCTCTCCAGCTGAAAGAGGGGTGGTGTCAGGACTAGCTCCTCCAAGGCAAGTCACCAGCCTGCCTCTCCTTGACCCCTAAAAGCAGGACTTTAGAAATGCTTCAAGTCATCCTGGGGCCTGTGGGACTTGCAGTCTCCTTGTCATTGCCTTGTGACTTGTTCTTCTCTATACCAGATCATTTTCTGCTGGAGTGTACATTCATCACTGAACCAAAGGACTTACTTTTTACTAATTACTGGGTTTATTGTGGTCTGGTCTTTGGGCTTTTTTTTTTTTTAATCCAGTTCATATTCAGTATCACTCTAATTACGGAAACGAAGAACATTTTTAAAACAATAAGTGATGACTTCCTGTACAAACAATATCAACTTTCCTGATTTGGATTCTGTGTTTGTAAATAGCAACTATTTGTTCTCATCTGCAGCATGCTAAGACATGGGAAACAGGCACCTTGGAGATCCACATGGAGCTAATATGGGAAATGGACTGACACAACGTCCTGTCACAGGAAACAATACAAGACTAGGAGGGACCCAAATTTCACAAATGTTTATTTCCTAAACACCCACGAATTAATGCAGAGTGAAACTAGACTCAGGAAAGAAGACAGTCTTCACAGAGGATTTTGTTACCCCCATCTCAACCCCATTTGAGCTAGAATAATTGAATTTCATGCATATTTACAGAAACAGTGACTCATATTAAGAGACAGGTAGAAAAGAGATAGGGATAATGAGAGAGCATAGAGAAAGAAAATACTTTTTCTAATACATACTTATCAGAAAGGGTGAGTTTTGGTACTCAGTATCTTGTATCTTTCTAACTTACTAAACAATTCTTCCTGAAATTGTAAAGTTTGTGAAGACTAATGGACCTTTCTCCACCTTAGGACAGAGTGACACTTCCAACAGGCATTAAATGAGCTGTTACCTTGCAGCCTCCCTCATTATCCATAGTTTTCCCTAAATGTCAGGTGTGCTTCCTGGGACACAACTAACACTTCAATCTTAAGAAATTTGTTTTCAATCAAAATGATTGCCAAATTCAGAAAATCAACATGCCAGAAAGGTCTAAGGTAATGGACCTTAGACCATTAAAATGTTTAGGGAACAGGTTTGTTTCTTAAACATTTTATTTCTTTTTTGGCAATTAAGGTAGGAGGAGTTATAAAATCTAGCCATCTCTTCAACAGCGACATCAAGATTTGTGACTGAATGTCCTTGAAAAACCAACAAAACCAAGACACTCTGACAGCCTTCTTTAAATGATTAGCAGGGATGGAAGGACAGGGGTTGGCATGGGACTGTCCTAAAACAATTTCTGCAATGATATGTGTCTCTTCCATCACTATGGGAATTCTGCAGATAACCTTGGTTGACAATCATCTGATTGAAGGTGCCTTTTAAATGCAGGGAAGCCACATACAAGTTGGGAAACAGTGAAGAGTTGGAAGTCTGGTTCTGTCTCTCATTTGTAAAAATTTAGGATACAGAAAAATTAACTCTTCAAGCAGGTAAGAGACCAAGAGGATGCAAAGGCAACCCTTGTATGGTAAAGTCAGTTTAGCAGAGAGGTCCTTCTCATGCAGTGAATGGAGAGCATTGAGGGTAGGTCTCAGGGATGATATCCAAGGTGGGAGGTTCAAGAAGGTCCCGTGATGGGAAACTTGCAAAAGGCATCCGAGGAAATTGTACATTTCCCTCGGCTGTAGGCTGTTGATCACTAAATGAATATCCTATTTTGGCTATTCTTCCGTGGATGCATCTGTTGTTGGATTTACAGAGAATTATATGAAAAGAGATGGGTGATGAAAACACTGCAGCATATTTCAGATGAAGGAAAGTAGGATGAACAGCATGAACAGCCGATAGTGCTCAATAAAGCAACACACAGTTATGGGGAGAGCTATCTTATTTTCTGTCAGTGTAGTGAGAGGTCCACTTCATTCTGCTTTTTCACAGTGCCAGTCTTACTCTTCATATCACAAAATGAAAACAAAGGCTAATTTACTCTGATGTGAACTCATTGGATGCAGCAGATCCAGAATTTGGAAAACTTCCAGTTGCACGTTCTCTGTAACATGGGCTTTCAAAACCTGTGTGTCCTGAAATACTACAGTAATCTATTAACATTACTGTGTAAAAATAACAAAAAACTAAAGTAGTCATTAAATCCCTAAAGTGTCAATAATTTGTTCTTTTATTGTTGTGTCTATTGAATTACACTCTTCTCAGAAGTGTCTGATTAATACCCTGGAAGGAAGCAGGATCATAAAGAAATTTCTTTTATAGTCTAACTGACCTAATTCCAGCACTTCCCATACATTACACAATACTTGTTTGCTGAACACAACTCTGTGTTTAATTTGATTTCATTTATTCTAGATTTTTCCAATATGTGTGACATGGATTACAGAGGTTATTTTTAAATATGACTTCACATGCAAATAGTAATTTTCTGCAGCATGAGGCAAGTCAGTGATCTGACAGGCAGCTTTAGCATCCTTCAGCTGCCTAGAAATAACATCACATCACATCACATAGGAGACAGTTTCTGATACCTATTTCACATATTCACTTGTAGTCTACTTCCATCTGGACTCCTGTTTTCTCTAGGCAAATGTTTGGATTGGGTTTTTTTCTTGCTTCATTTTTTTTCTAACTGATAAAAGATTACCATTTGTATCTGCAAGTTCTGAGAAAGAAGATTTTGTACATTAATTGGAAAATGAACATTATGCAAGGCTGAAAATGTCATTCAAAACTCAGCCCCAGCTGAACTGCCTTACTTTTCCACTTTGCTGTATTGCAGAGCAAGTACCAGGAAGTGTTAAAAAAACTGAATCTTACCGTTAATAAATACATAGACTGTAGATTCCTTCTTCTTTTTTGCTGGACTTGTGGGGTATTTGCAGCTATAATTTCCAGTGTCACTCGCTTGAGTTCTGCTCAAGGTCAGACTGCTGCAGGACTGCTTCCCATTCCTTCCACAGGCATATTTAATTACTTTCAGCCTTTTGCTATCCTTGCTAAGAGTTTCAGGCAAAGACCATGAATGAACCATTTCCCCCCTGCAAACACAGATAAGGAAGCAGAAACAATTATGCTGGGCTGCAATTATATAGCTCCAGTTCCCAAGCTTTCTTTTTTATTATATCAGGCTATTTATGGGGTTCTCTTTTATCTTGTTTTCCAAAAACAACAACAGAAACAACAAAGAACTATTAAACAATTGCCATTGAAGTTCACTCCCCACCTTTCCCCACAACACAAGGTTTAATTTTTTTCTAATTTCAGTTACAAAAAAAAGAAAGTGTCAGGTGTATGAAGTCCCTGCCAAATTATCATAATCCAACTCAGTTGGTTACCTGCAGGTGAGATTTAAAGTCTGGCCGGCTTGAACAACGTGCTGTATGCCATTTATACTCAGCTCAGGAACTTTTAGTTTTGATCCTGAACTAGATCCTAGAAAAACAAAGAAAAAAATCAAAACATTAACAAAGTCAAATAATTCTGCTTCCAGTCCACTCACATTTATGCTGTTATACTGGAAAGGAAAAGAAAAGAAAACTGTGCCTCTCTCACCACACATACTCTCTTCCTTTGAGCAAAGTCCTGTTGCCCTGACTCAGGACTCAAATAACCTTCCAGCAGCATTACTCAGGAAAGAAAATAGAATTGAAAGCTATCAGTCAATGACTTTGCTCTCAAGTTTTTCACTGAACATATAATGAAGAAACTGAGGACCTCATGGATCCACATCTAACCAAGGAAGTGTGCCCCCAGCACCACTGGCTGCATTTCCTCAGGAAACACAGCCATGGCAGCCCCTTCAATGGGAAGGATAAATTCAGCCACTCCCATGGCAAGAGCCACGTACTGACTCCTAAGATACTGAAATCCCACTCAAACAACTTGCTGCAAGGCTCAAACTGATGTGGAAGGAGTCAAATGCATTAAGGCTCTTCCCTTTCTGTCTGGAGGTCACAGCGCTCTTACTCCTGGCCCCTCACCAGCTGCAGGCTTCCTGTCAACAAAGTAGCACCAAAAGGTAGACCTTTACAGTAAATTGTGAGAACAAGATCAAGACACCTTCCAGATGAGATTTGCTGCTTATTTGAGAAAGCAAGCATGACGTTGTGGCCAGACCATTCTGGCATAAGTGAAAACCTTGGTGTCAGCATAACACGAGGTGGCTGAGGACAGTTGAAAACGTCCAGGTGGGCTTTGTGAAGTCTACATGGAGGCATTTTTAAGAAGACCATGAAAAAGCCTCATGGTCAGAAAACCAGAAGAGCATGAGATCTTCCTTCTCATCAAGTCAGGAGGTGCTGGCTGGAAAGACATAGTGATTTATCTTTGCTCTATAATAGGCTGTGGCCACAAAAGCTTTCATGGCAAACTGACAGAAGAACATGCCTTAGGGAAGAAGCGGTGCTTGATCCATCCCACTGCCCTTGCACTGACAGCAAAATGTTCCAGAAGCTAGGAACACAATGTAAAAACATTTCAAAACACTTAAAAGTTGAAAACCAGTTGTAGTCTGATTGGGATCAAGTGTAATTTGTAAATATTTCATTGTTGAGAGAGAGTAACAGCAACTATCCCAAATCACTTTATTCCAAGAGAAAGCATTACCTTGTCAACATATGGGATAAACCCCATCTCATAGTAAAGGGCAATGCAGATTTTTCTTCTAGAACTCAGTCAAGTACAGTTTTAGCTCAGCTATTTTAAGTCCTTGTAAGAGGTCCCTGCACAGCCAAGTATGAACAGCTGTATGCACCAAACATAGTAGAAATACATGAACCTTTCTTGGGGCTACGTATCACCAATCAGAAAAGCTTCCCTCTTTTGTTGACTAGAGAAGGAACTTTTGGACACCAGTTCCTGCTGAGATTGGTGACTAAAATTTAGATGTATAAACACATCAAAGCCAATGGCTGCTCCAAATTCAGGAGCTTTCTTGGTAGCCCTGGATATCTTACTTAAGATGTGGCTCCAGTAGTTTTCAATATATTCTGTCATCTCTGCCAATTCAAAACAAGATTTAAATTGAACATAGACATAGACATGAACATTTGAACATAGACATAGACATGAACATTTGAACATAGACATAAATAAAATTATAGTTCACTTGCACAAGCTGCAAGCAAGGGCATAATAACTTCTCAGAATAAAGAGATCTTCTGGACTGCACCTCAAATAACACTATAGATTTGAATGGTGAGACTGTCCACATACACAGATGTCCTCTGAGATTTGTCTAGATAATCATATTTTTAACTAGAAACTAATATATTCTAGCAGCTGGTAAGAGTAGAGAAAAATGGTGCAGCAAATCTCTGAAGAGTTAATTGTTATGTGATGTGCATTGCAAACATACATTTCTCATGCCTGCCCTTTAGGAATCTCAACTCTGAAGAGCTGGTTCCCCCAAAGTGTGCTTTTATGGGATAATCTCCCATAGATGCTTACAGTCTATGAGTCTTCTCATTCACCATTCTGAAACAATGCCTCTGAGGCTAATCACTGAGAAATTGAGATAAGATGTTACAACAGCCTAGGCAGCTGCTTGGAGAGCAACCCAGGCACTCTGGTTGAGAGGGTTTGTCAACATCCTCTAGCTAAACAATCTGATGGTTTTCTGAAACTCCCACATTCCCTCATTTCATTTGCATTCCTCTTGTCATCCCAGAATTGAAGGGTCAGATGCTCTCCCAAGAAGAGAGAGTTTATATCCAGCTTTATGAATCTTGGTTTTTACTTTGGGGAAAAGTTGACCTCAAGCTTCCCTGAACTGCTCCTTATTTGAGGTCCTGGAAAGGCTGAAAGCATGAAACAGTGTTTACAAGCAGTTCAATATGTATGAAAAAAATATCAGTGATGGTCTGCCAGAGGAAACCATTGGGATCAAAGCCCAGTTGCTAGAGATGCAACATGTATGTTGCTCATGCAACTCAACCTAGTTGCTAGAGAGCAACATGTAGGTTGCTTCCTGTGTAAAACTGGTGAGAAAGTGGAAAAATCCATGTGAGTGACAGGTGTTGACAGCAAGACAGGAGAGTGGGTCTGCAGTGCCTGGTCATGCCTGAGGTGCTGAGTGCTTGGCTTTGCTGGGCACTGGCACTGCACCATGCCCAGGAACAAAGCCAATCCTGCAGCACCTTGCCCACGTCTGACCCATGCTGAGACCAGGAGACCAGCCCTGGGAATGTGGGCTGCTGTTGTTTTCAAAGTCTACCAGAGGTGAGGAGCAAGAAACCATCATAAACGTTACAAGGTTTTTTTCTTCCTAACTTTACAGTGATATAAACAAAGACACGAACACTTGAAGATCTAACTTATTTGAAGCATATAAAACAAGTCAGCCTGGAAGCCTGTTGTCAGATCTGCCTCAGAGTTACTAAAATCAAAGAAAAAACATAACAAAACCACCCACGTTTCCACCCCATCTTGTAGGCAAAAAAGAAACAAGAAACCCAAATATACTGGACACATACTCAAGCTTTTGCCTTTTTGCACATTTTACATATATCTAAAAGACAGCACAGTATTTATAAATATTGTGTGGGGGATCTTAAGGAGTGCTTAGTGTTTGTCTAACTCTGCTCCCATTGACACAAGCCAGCATTTCATCATTGATTTCAAGTACATTTTAGACACTTAACTCCAGTAGTTAATCGTATTCACATTCAAGACTTAATGTCAGTGTATTTGGGAAGACATACAAGCCTGGTTATATATTCATTTATTTAGTTTTTCACTGACAAAAAGCTGAGGTTTTATTTCAAGCCAAAATTGTTGGCTGTACAAGTATGGGACACAATGCTTTTACCAGCAAGATGCTATGTCTCAAAGAAAAATAGCTTTATTTGACATCCTATCTATTCATGGGTCATTAGGTTCCTTACGTTTTTAAGTGCTTCAAAACCAATGCAGAGTACAAATGCAATAGAGTTTGACATGTTTACCAGGAAAGAAAAAGGAAGGAGAATAGCAGGGAAATTCCTACTGTCAATATTTAGAAGCAGATTATGCCTTCTATGTACCTTCTGTGGGCATTTTACTTGACACTGTCTTTTCTGAAGGGTCATGGCTCAACAGGACACATTCACTTATCATTGTGCCTGTCACTAAGCGACCATCAGCAGCCTACCCTCACACTGACCTACATTGAGGGGTGCAGCTTCTTTTCATGTGACAACAAGAGAACTAATTAATCCTGATAACTGAGGAATCTCCTCCCATGGGGAAAGGGTGGCTTTTTCAGACGCATTTTATTTGTTATGGAAGGCTTATTAAATGCATGTGAAAGTCAGTCAATGGGGTTGCTTAATTAATGAGAAAACGTTAATTTAGATCGCAAAAGTTAGCCATTCTAAGTAAAGGGGAGGACAATTTTTTTTTTTATGAAAGCAGAGAGCAATCTGTGATTTTCAAGGGGAAAAAAATAAAGGAAGTTTTCTTCCATTAACTTCTGCCCCACCAAAAAAGCTGATCCTCTTCCAAATTAAGTAAATAAAAATATTAATTATCTGATAACAAAAAACCCCTCTGATCACAAGTCATGAAAAAAAGATAAAATAAATGGACATGCATGTATTTTTCCAATATGATATGTGTCCAGTTCTATAGACAAATGAGTAACATGCATGCAGGATGAACCTTTCACTGATTTCTGCTAAATCCTGGATTCTCTTAAAAATTATAGATTAGTTGAACTCAAAATTGGGACCATGATCTGGGTTATTATTCCCATTCCAATTTTCCCAGTTTTTACTTTTAAATTTCGTTTCATAAACAGAGAACTTCTACTACCTTTGACTAAAGAAAGGAAATCCAAAAGCTAGCTTTAAGACTAAGTTTAAAAAATTACAATATTAGAAGTTATTATAAACTTCCTTGAAGTTAAGGTTTAATGACTTTCTAATATCTTTTCTATAATTTGGGGATGTGACTGTCTTCCAGCCACTCCTGTTATCCTCAACGTGTTGACTAATCCTTTTTTCACCTGCTCAACAAGAGGTTAAGGAGAATGATCAGTTTATCTTTGCAACTTCAGTGTGTACAAAGAATCTGACCTTCTGGGTTTAAAGTGCCATCTGTGGGCAATAAAGTTATCCATCATGAAGTAATTGTTTCAGTCACTGATGGATTTGCACATGTCTTACCCCTTGTGAAACATAACTGAGCCTTTGAGGCTTTTACCATCAAATATAATTTCCTCCTGATTCAAACGTTCAACAAAAATGTACTTTGCAGAGGAAACTCCTGCACTGGAAGGAGAGGGCAGGTTATTTCTTAACAAGGTCTCCACCTCTCTGTGATGCTTAAAACATTGGTCATTCAGTTCAGATGCAGCCCAGGACTTTACTCTTGCTTCTGAGCACTTCCCTATGAGTCATTCCACTGAAGGGAATGGGAATGCCCACATGTGTACAACTAAAAAGCAGTTGCAG